TGACGATCCTGTAGAGACAAGATGCCAGTTTCAACATACAGGCTCAGGGTAGGGGATGAACGAAAGGCACCAGAGCCGAGGCGTAATCCAGTCTGGTGAAAAGCTTCAAGACGACGAAGAGCTGAACGAGAGGCAGATGAATAAGCAGGACAGCCATAGTCAAGTTTAAACAGCACGAGAGAGGAATGTAAATAGACGAGCGTGCGTTATCAGCTCCCCAGGAAGTATAGGACAAGACCTTAAGTTTAGGGCATTAGAGCATTCAACTCTAAGGTAAGAGATATGGAGCAACCAAGTCAAACAAGAGTCTAAGATTAACCCCATTAGTTTGTATAAAGAGGATTACCAAAGTGACAAAAGGGGCCGAAGAATGACCTGCTTCCGAATAAGTCATAACACAAGTCTTGGTTGTTGAGAACATGAAGCCATGCTTGGTGGCCCAGGACGACAGCATCAATCACAAGTTGAAGCAGCTGTTGGAAGAAAAGCGTCATCACCTTGACAGCAGAGGGTAAAGATCGTCAACACAGAGAGCTGAGAAAATGCCAGAGGGAAGGGAGGAAAGAAAACTATTGAGGGCAACCAGGAAAATAGTAGTGCTCAGAACACTCCCTTGGGGTACATCTTTCGTATTGTAAAAAAGAGGCAAAGTGTGTGGTACCAAGCCTCATTCTAAAGGAACTACTAGAGGGGAACCTTTGGAGGAAGAGAGGGAGATTACCACCAAGGCCTAAAGAGCAGAGTTGGGACAGAATGTGGTATCTCCAGGTGGTGCCTTTTCCAGGTCAAAAAGGACAGCAACAACGGACTTCTTTGCAGCAAAGGCAGTACAAATATAGACCAAGTTTACCAAGACATCAGTTGTGTTGTGATACTTGCAAAAGCCAAATTGAGAAGGGGATAGGTGGTGATAGTGTTCTAAGAACCACATCAGACAGGCATTGACCATACATTCAAAAAGTTTGTAGATGCAACTTGTTAGGGCAATGGGGCAGAAGTCCTTGTGGAATGTCCCTAAGAGTACCTGGTTTCCAAACAGTAAGAACTGCATCAAACCAGTGTTTGCGAACTGATGATGACTCTCAGATACTGTTATAAATATTCAGTAATATTTAGTAAATACTGAAAGGTGCATGGAGAGAGATGGTGAAGCATTTCAATGAATCATCTAAGCCCACTACCGTAGAACTGCAGAGGGTCAGGGCAAACTGGGGTTTCAAGTGAGAGAAGGTTTTATTATAGAGGAGCTGGAGATATGTGCTAAAATCTAAGGGATAAAATTCATGAAGGTGCTTGCGAGTAAGGATAGAGGGAAGAAGACGGGAAGAAGACGAGAACCAGAGCTATCGGTTAAAAAGTGTGAACCCAGTTCGCATGCGACCACCACCGGATCTGACACACCAGGACCGTGTAGGTGAAAGACTGGCGAGACAAACACCCACCCACCTCCTTACAGATTTTTTTCTAGATCTATGGGAGTCGAGTGTCAACCGTAATGGTGGAGACGTAAGATTTCCATCTTACTCTTATTCGTATGGATGACCCTATGGGCCACCACACGTGCCTTCCCCCCCCCCCCCCCCAAAAAAAAAAAAAAAAAAAAAAAAAAAAAAAAATCGGGGCATCTGTCTGCACCATTGTTCCTTCTAGCCTGCACGCTTACAGCAGACAGCCCAAGCACAGTCTGAATTCCACCAGGGAATGCATTCCTGTATGCCATGGTAGAAACAGACCGAGGAACAAAGCAAAGGGCAGTGTTGAATATAATGTCATGAAAAATGGAGGGCTTGAGGAAAAGGCAAATCAGAGGTTTGAAATAGCAACATGGAGGGTGAATATGCCAGTAAGCCTTGGCAAAGTGCTACCTAAGGAAGGAGAGGGAGAGGGTGAAAAGGATGGGAAAATGGTAACTGTTGTAAAAGTCTTCAAGAACTGCCATGCAAAAACTAGAGAGAAGATGAGCAGAGGACGATCAAGACAGGAAAGGGTGCAAGTCAACACAAGTTGGTTCACCAGAATTTAGAAAAGACAAGAGGTTCAAGGCAGCGACCTCGGGTGTTTGTCAAAAGGAGCACAGGCTCCGGTAAGGAGTCCAACAGGTGTTTAAGATCAAGAAGAGAAAGAAGCACATTGGTGGGGGGGGGAGGGATTTTTTTTTTTTGTTAATATTTTCTACCACAGACGTGGCCACACATTTACAATGCTAACCAGCATATATACATTTTCTTCTGTCCTCCATGGACAGGGTTAGAGATGTGTTAAACATATAGCTCAGGGGTTTATTGAACAGTCAATCACAGAAGGTGATTCGGTGCTTTTAAAATGCTAAGCTAACCTACATACGTAAATACATAGATACACTGATTTACGTATGCCCTACATAAAGTGTTCGATGTGCCTTTTACATAGTGTCATTAATGTGCATTTACAAAGGTGAAATGTAATTCTGATCAGCTTCCATATATATTTTACCAGAGGCCAGGAGGCCTGGTCGACAACCGGGCCGCGGGGACGCTAAGCCCCGGAAGCACCTCAAGGTATACATATACACATGCATACATATACATACATATATACACACACACACATGCATTCACATACATTTGTCTATCATACTCTGACAGGGTGAGATAGCCGATAGAGAAACTAGTGTGCAATTAAGCACTTAATCACTGAAGGTGATTATGGTGCTTTTACAAGCTCAGGTTATATAGTTACATCATACATTGTATAATTGATACATTACATGGTTAATCTTGAGTACAAGTCCAATATATCAAGTGTTCCAGTACTCATATAGTAATTACACAGTTCAGCATACTTTAGCCCAGGAGGGCGAAAGTCAGTCAATATGGGACGTTCTACAATACTGTATAATGTTCAAGGGAGTGCACGTTCTCTCTTTCACAAAGTTGACGCATTGTGTACTCGACATTTGGGTTTTGAGAAAGCTGCCAGATAAGTCTATATCCCAGGCGTATTCTGGCCACTATAACATCACATTGCCGGGTTCTAGTTCCATTTATCTCTCCTGGGACTAATAGAACAGACTGCGTATCATTTTCTCACAAAGATACAGGCAACAGAGGAATGAATTGGAGACTGAAAAAGTTCGGGGGCACAAAGGGAATATTATTACAGATCAAGAGAGCAGTAGAGTTATGGCCCCAGCTCAAGCTAGAGGGGAACAAAGGAATAACCACAAAAGCAGCCAGAATGAGTGCAAGGCATCAGCTCCTGGAGACTTGCACAAAATAGCAATACCAAAGAGATAGAGAAAAAATATTAGGAATGCAAAGATGAACACGGGATCCTAGGGAGGATCAGGATCAGTGAAATCAGGTTGTGAGGGAATAGGTAAATCAACCAAAGATGACACAGTCGAGAGGCTAGAAGGAGGGGGCCAAAGGCAGACTGACAGTCCAGGGTGGAAGGAGGCTATCAAGGAAATGGGAAAGGACAAATAGGAGTGCACTTGCTCAAAGACAGTGTTGGAGGGCCTCGGGAATCTCTATAGTGGGGTTAGTTAACTCCACTACAGACATGGGAGGAGAAGCAGGAACAGAGCCCGAGGTGATAAGCAATAGATGGATTGATGCCATCTTACCAGCTGAAAGAAAGATGGAGAGGAACCAGGTTTAAGCATCTGACAGACACAGGTATGCCAGCAGCAATGTCCTGTGCCATGACCTCTTATAATCTCAGGTGAGCAAGAACGAGCGAGGACAACATGAGGACAACCAGGATGGACATCGACCTGGAGGGTCAGGTGTTGTGGGTCAAAAAACAGATGGGAGGGCTGGGAAGATGGGGTTGGGAAAGAAAGGGGGGGGGGGGATGGGGGACAGAAAAGCAGGTCTTTGAGAGGTGACACTGAAATGAACAGAAGACTGGGAGGGGATGGTGAAAACACCAGGCGGCGAATCGTGAGGAAAGTCCAGAGTCAGAATGGAGACGAGTGGAAGACTGAGCTGGTGGAGGTATTGGGGTCTAAGGTCTGGAAATGGTTGTGGAATTGAGAAAGGGGATGAAGGGTGGGGAGAAGTTTGACACAACACACGAGCACAAGTCACGTCGGATAAAAAAGTTAACTTGGTGTCTTGCCTCTGAAAGAAATCGTCATTATGTTTTAAATTGAGATTGGCTTCCTCAGATTTGTAGTGTATGCATCAGTGGAAGAAGGCAGGGTGGGCATCACCACAATTGATGAAGTGATGCTGGGAAGAAGAGCATCATCTTACAATGATCTGGGACTACACAAAGGACACACGGACACCTCGCTAGTTCATCACAAGAGACCATGACCAAATTGCCAACACCTATTGCCGCGGCAAGGAGAGGATGTATTCGTGAACTAAGCATTTGGCACCAGCAATAACAACTTTAGGGAACTACCATCTAATGTGATTTTGACTACCTGAAGAGGCTGACAATGCCAAACATCAGGGGGGTCAAGTAAACACATGTCTGGAGGATAGAATGGCCTTGGGCCTCGAGAATATATTTAGTATCTTCTTGGCAGTCTTAGCTCTCCATATTCAGTTGTGACATGGAGCAGAATTATTGTGCCAATGCTGGGACAGTAATTTAACCTGGCATTTAACTGGGCATTTTTTTTTTTTTGAGACCCAAACTAGGGTTTCACCAATGAAGGACAAGGCCAGGCTGTCCTGCTGCTTCCTGAGAAGGGGCTAAAACTAAAAGTGCGCCAGTCCAGGTGGAGTTAAAAGTGATATTGGCATCAAAGTAATCAACCAGGTGTTTATGGAAGTGTAACTCAGGACATGTACGTTCAGTGTGAAAAAGAAATAGTAATTATCAAAAGAAGGCACCAAACCGGAAAGGCTTACTCGAGTTACTTATACATATTCTCCAACTGGTCTATACTTCCTTCACATTACTTCCTGTATCAGCTGGCTAGCACTTTTGAATGGCATCATAAACTGCAGTCAGAGTATATGAGGTAAGCTGAATGACAAGAGGCTAATGAAGACGCTTCACATGATCATTCTTTTACTATTATTAAAGCTCTTTATAATCTTCTCACAACAGTCTTCAAAAAAAATAGTATGTGCGTAATCCAACTATCACAAATGTTGCATATTTTACATATGTACATGCCAATCTGATTTTAAGATTAATATTTCCAATAATCTTACTTCCAAGTGCATTTTGGCCTAGCATCATTCTTTAAACCTGAAACTTCGCAACACTTTTTTTTTTGTATTAATGACCAACATATGGAGCCAGCTTTTACGTTGGTTTAGATTAAATAATTGCAGGCATGTTACCTTGCAAGCCATGGCACTGCATTTACCTTTTTAACAAACTAATGGGAACAAATTAAATTCAAGCAACATATGAGCCATTTATGATAAGAGGAATCATTAACTTAAACCTGATAATTATTAGCAACAATGTAACAACTACAGTAACTATAAACTACAGTTGTTGAACTATCAAAGCTTACGAACTTTCACTCTACACACACTTCATGCTTACTACACCGGTTACTACATACCCAAGACAATTTTGGGGAGAAAATTCATAATGGTATTTGAAAGCAGTAATAAATGTTTTCTAAATATGACCACACAGTTTAGAAAATTATTGCGACACTGTAGCCATGGTTTGAAGCCAAAAGTAACACATTATATAACAGGTCTACAATTATTGGTTCCTTGCATAGCAATATTCAACACATTATTAATACAGCAGTTTTTTTGGTCAATCAATTTTACTTGGCATTTAATCCCTCTTTGAATATTAAATGTTTTATTTTATATGTTAACACTAACTTTTTTTATAGGTTCTTCCAGGAGTAACAAAGTAAATGTTTACTTGCCAAGTGATATTTTAAGAGTGTCCATTCATACCATCACATTCCCAAGATGCTGTCCTAGTAATTACTGGCAGGGCATTCACCATGACATTAATAATCAAGTTCTTAGAGCTTTTTACAGTGGATATAACCAATCACAAATGGTAAGAGTTAAAATGTCCAGCTGTGTTTACATGCTTGTAAATCTATACAAATATTTTCAGATTAATTAGTATATTTAAGTAGTGATTATGAAGACATTAATAACAATATACATAGCCAAGTTACATTTTCACTAAATATATTAATCAAGGAGTAGAAGCTTCCAATAGAAAAGAGCAATCCAATACAATCTACTACTGGGCGTAGTCCATTTTACGGCTTGCTGAACTTTCATTTCCTACCCTGATTTATTCTTTAAATCATTTTAAGTATAGTATTACATTAGAAAAAATTAGGTAAAATTACCCCAAATATTTTTTCTTTACATGCAGACAGACAGTTCTTGCTCCATAAACAATACCTATTCCTTTTTATCTTCTATACTCCCAGAAGAAAATTTGGGGGCAACAAATCTGTTGTACAGGTTATAACCAACACCTGCAGTAAGGCACACCACAACAAAGCCTTGGGCAGCCACACGCAGTTGAATAAGGTAGAGAGAGGTCTTTATTTGCTTATTCCTAAAGCCATAGATGCCATAGCCTACTAATCCAACCAGTCCAGCCAGCCCTGAAAGAAATGCAAAATATGGATTATACCTTTATTAATGGATGGCACACTCGCATACCTTTATTAATGGATGGCACACTCGCAATCAGTGCAATTTACTTTTTTTCTTACAGATTGCAAGAGGCAATGGCAACATTTCAATTTATTTAAGAGTAAGTAATTATCAAAGAGAAGGCACCAAACCGGGAAGGCTATGTAGCACCATCAAATGTGCGGGATAATCAGAGGGCACTAAAAATCACCAAGGATGCCAATACGAGAACAGAAACGCATAAGGCGAACGATAGCAAAAGAATCCGAGTCACCAAGAATATTATCGAGACAAGCGACCTCGGGAGACAGTCGGAACACAAGACACGTGCTCGTCCCGTAAGTCAGGACAGTCAACAAGGATATGCATGACGGTAAGAGGGACAATGCAATTAGGACAAGGAGCAGGGCAGGACTCAATCAAGTGACCACGAATTAAGCGAGTAAACCCAATACGCAACTTCGCCAGAGCCGTTTCCCATCGCCAGTTATGGTGGTAGGAGGACGGCCACGAGGACAACTTAAGAGAACGTAGTTTGTTACCAGTAACAGAAGACCAACAAGCCTGCCAACGGGCAAGAACGGAGGAATGGATAACCGGGTAAAAGTTGGAACAAGGAATACCTTTACGAGAGATGGGACAAGAGCGGACAGCTTCCCTGGCGGCAGCATCCGCACGCTCATTTAAAGACAAAAATATGGCTGGAAGCCCAACAAAACTCAACCAACTTAAATTTACTGTGAACAAGAAACAGCCAATGCTGGATCTCGACAACTGGATGAACCAGATTAAAGGACCCGAGAGCCATGAGGGCACTACAAGAGTCAACAACCACAAAGGAAGATTGACAACGAGAGAGCAGGAGATGAAGAGCAGAGAGAATAGCATAAAGCTCCGCTGTGAAGATGCTAGTCTCTGGAGGTAAGCGACACACAAGTGTGATCAGGGAAAACAACAGTAGCCAACACCGTCCGCAGACTTGGACTCATCGGTGAAGACGGAAACGGAGTGGGAGTGAGAAGAAGAGTACTCAAGGTAAAGGCGTTTTAGAACCGAAGGAGGGGTAAAAGCTTTAGGGATGCGGGTCAAGGATGTACAAAACTGCGGAAGGGAGTCTCTCCATAGGGGCAAAGAAGGAACACGAGGAGAAATACGAGTGGAAAGAATCCGCTTAGCAAGACAACCAGACAAAGAGGGAGGTGTTGAAGAGGAACAGGAACCGCAGGAGGGGTAAAAGTTAAAGAACGGCAGAGCCAAGAGGAAGGATGTTGCAAGGACCTCGCAAGATAGCGAAGACAGTCCTGGAGAGAGAGACGGGAGTCGAACGAAAGGCACCAGAACCGAGGCGCAACCCAGTATGGTGCAAAGCATCAAGATGGCGAAGAGTAGAAGGAGAAGCAGACGAATAAGCAGGGCAACCATAATCGAGCTTAGACAGGACGAGAGGAATGCAAAGCAAGGAGTGCGCGCCTATCCGCTCCCCAAGAAGTATGGGACAATACTCTGAGGGGGGTAAGGGCCTTAGAGCACTCAACACGGAGGTAAGAGATATGGGGAGACCAAGACAAACGAGTGTCAAGGAATAACCCCTAAAGCTTCGGAATCTTTGTACTCAAGGGGATGACCATAAAGCGACGAAGAACGACCCGTTTCCGAGTAAAAGACATGGCACAAGTCTTAGAAGTAGAGAACTTTATGCCATGATCAGTTGCCCCAAGACGACACGGCATCAATCCCAAGTTGAAGCCGGCGCTGAAGGAGAGGCAAATCATCACCCTGACAGCAAAGGGCAAGATCATCGACAGAGCGGAGAAGACACCTGAAAGAGGAAAAAGACCATTGAGGGCAACCAGAAAAAGAGTAGTGCTCAGAACACCACCCTGGGGCACACCTTCATATTGCCGAAAAGAGGCAGAGAGCGGTACCAAGGCGCATCCGAAAGGAACGACGAGAGAGGAAGCTGTGGAGAAAGAGGGAGATGACCACGAAGGCCAAAAGAATGAAGCTGGGATAGAATATGATATTGCCAAGTGGTGTTGTAAGCCTTTTCCAGGTCAAAAAGAACGGCAACAACGGAGGTCCTCGCAGCAAAAGCAGTACGAATATAGACCTCCAACCATCGGAGCCAGCCGCCGTAGAACCGCAGAGGGCCAGGGCAGAACGAAGTTCAGAGAAGGGATCGTTATAGGAAAGTTGAAGACTAGTGCAGAAATCTAAAGGACAAGATTCAAGGACAGGTTTACGAAGAAGGAAAGATTGGGGAAGATGAAGACCAGAGCTAACAGAAGAAAAGTGAGAACCCAGTTCGGTAGCGACCTGCAATGGTTGCAGGTCGCCACGAGTACCACGGAGGTGAAGGACCCGGGAAACATCTGGAACGAACTTGCCCGCAATCTTGCGGATACGCTTCCAGATCTGTGGCAGGGGAGTTTCGGACGTAATTGTGGAGACAAGTCCAACATTCACGTTTAGCCGTACGGATGGCCCTACGGGCCACCGCACTCGCTTTCCGAAAGAAAAGAAAAGAATTGGTCGTCTGCCAACGGCGGTGCCTCTTCCAGGCTGCACGCTTACACCGGACAGCCCGAGCACAGTCCGCATTCCACCAGGGAACGCACTTCTGTGGACCCCGAGAGGAAGAGCGAGGAATAAAGCTGAGGGCAGCGTCGAAGACAGTGTCATGAAAAAGGAGGAGAGCGCGAGGGAGAGGCAGAAGGGAGAGGTCAGAGAGAGCAGCACTGAGGGTAAATATGTTCCAGTCCGCTTTAGCAAACTGCCACCTAGGAAGAGAGTGAAGGGCAAAACGAGAAAAAGGAAACAAGGATAGGGAAATGATCACTGCCATGGAGGTCATCAAGAACCTGCCACGTGAAATCTAAGTAAAGAGAAGAGCAGAGAGAAAGATCAAGACGGGAAAGGGTGCGAGTCCGAGAGTCCAAATGAGTGGGCTCACCAGAATTCAGAAGAGACAGGGCAGAAGAGAGGAGAAATGGCTCAAGAAGGCGACCCCGGGTATTCGTCAGAACATCACCCCAAAGAGAATGACGACAATTGAAGTTGTCCAGCAGTAGCACAGGCTCCGGCAAGGAGTCAAAGAGGTGTTTCAAGTCAGGAAGAGAAAGCGGGACACTCGGGGGGGAGATAAATGGAACAAACTGTACCATTTCCCCACAAAGATACGAGCAGGAGAACAATGGAGAGGCAAAGGAAAAAGTAAAGGAACAAAGGGAACATCGGCGCAAATCAAGAGAGCAGAAGAATTAGGAGCCCCAGCAACGGCTGGGGGGAGAAAAAGAGAGAAAGGAATAGCCACGAAAACGACCAGGACGAGCACCAAGCATCGGCTCTTGGAGACAGACACAAAGGGGCGAAAACTGCGAAATCAGAAGTTAGAGTTCGAGGAAATTGGCGTAATAACCTAGAACGTTCCATTGAAGAAGACATCGACGAGAAGGGAAAGGACAACAGAGAACAAGGAAGAAACAAAGGCGAAAGAGCAACACAGCACGTTACAGAATATCAGGGTCGGGATCAGGGTCAGCAAAGTCAGGGTTAGGGGACATGGGTAAACTGAGCAAAGACTGAGGGAAGGAAGCGGGAGAACAGACCAGAGGTGGGTGGGCGGGGTCCGGAGGAGGAGGAGGAAGAGGAGACAACGGAGAGGAGCAGTCAAGGACAGCAGCAGGAAGAGGGGGAGTAGAAAGAGGGGAGCGCACCTCAGCAAGAGCAGCAACCGAAAGGGAAGCAGGGGCCAAAGAAACCTCCATACCAGGAACAGGGGGCGCAATCACTGAAATGGGAGGGGAAGGAGCAACAGAGCCAGAAGTAGGGGCTGAGGAAGAAAGCGAAGCCTTCTTACCTGCCGGGGAGGAGGAAGGAGAGGAGCCAGGCTTACGCTTCTGACTTAAAGAGACCGGTGTCCCAGCAACTACGTACCGGGCAACGGATTCCAATGTCTCAACAGAAGAAGCTGAACGAGAGCACACACACGACGGCCGTTAGGAGAGCGATGGACATCCGCCTGCACTGACAGGCAGCGGGGAGAGCCAATAGATGGAGGAAGAGGATGGGAAATAGGATCGGAGGGAGACGAGGAAGAAGACACAGGAGACACGACAGACCGGGTAGAAAGAAGGGGAACCCCAGACAGAGGACCAGGAGGGGGACCCTTCGGGACAGAACGCAAAGGAACAGTAGGGGGCAGTGGGCGTATCAGGGTCCAAGGCCCGGAAACGGTTGCGAGTCTGAGGAAGGAGGGAAGGACGAGGAGAGGAAGAGCGCATCACGCGAGCATAAGAGACGTTATAATAAGGCGGGAGCCGGCGAACCTGGCGCCTCGCCTCAGGAAAAGATAAACGCTCCCGGTGCTTCAAGTTGAGGACGGACGCCTCAAGCTTGTAATGGATACAGGCACGGGAGAAGGTAGGATGGGCCTCGCCACAGTCGAGGCAGCGAGCTTGGGGAGAAGTGCACGCCAACTTAGAGTGACCTTCACTCCCACACAAAGGACAGAGAGACAGTCCCAGAGCAGCGGAGGGCACCATGCCCAAACTTCCAGCACTTGTTACAAAGCCGAGGAGAAAGAATATACTCCTGGACAGAGCACCTAGCACCAGCAAGAATGACAGGATGGAAGGGTCCTACCATCAAAGGTGATCTTCACAACACGAAGGGGGACGAGTAAACGAGTCTACCTGGTGGACAGAATGGCCTTGGGCATCAAGGATATGCCGAATATCATCGTGGCAATCCTGCAGATTCCGAACACCGGTTGCAACATGGGGCGGGAGGAGAATAGTGCCAACACTGGCATTCATCTGAACGTTCTTGGAGACCCGAACAGGGATCTCGCCAAGGCAAAACAAGGCTGCCAAGCGGGAAGCTGCATCTTGAGAAGGAGCAGCAACGACACGTGTACCGAGACGAGTGGGGTTGAAGGTAACAGACGCATCCACGGAATCAACAAGATGCCGATGGAGGGAGAAACCGTCAGGAGGCGTAGAATCAAGAGGGAGGAGATCAAAGTATTTGGCCCATGAAGCGGGACCAATCGAGGCCTGATATGAGTCAGTACAGGAAGGAATCGAGCGAATGCGGCCGGGGCGCGAACGGCGTTGAGAACCCCCAGAGAGGGGTCAAATGGCGCAGTAGTCACAACAAGAGACTTAGCCGCACCAGGGAACGAAGTGGTCACCACTGGGGACTGGAGGCTTGATCCAACCACAGAGGAGGGAGGGGAGCTGGGGGAAGAAGTCAGGACGGTCAAAGGAGGAGCAAGGTCGGGGCCCAACGCAGCGGGAGCTACAGAGCCTGGTCTTCCAATACAGGCCGATTCGGGGGCTTGGTCGCCCACCCCACGAACCCAAGAGGGTACAACAAACATTTATCGACAGAGACGAAGAGAAAAATTCATCCACGAATGTGCCTCTACACCCACCATGGAGCCACAATTAGAGGCAAGACACCCAACAGGAAGCTATCGCCGATCATGCTGGGGCCCCCTAGGGGTACGTCGTGAGTATACGCCCCACAAACGCCACCTTAAGAACCGTCAGTCCGTCGAGATCGGGTTCAGCGACGAAAGGGGGATTGACAATAAAAGGTTCCCCTCGCTTGAGACGTCGGGTGCAAGAGTATGCCTCCTCAAGCACCCGGGCGTCAAAATAGAAGAAGTCCAAAGAAAGAACCAAAACAAGCAAAAGGTCGGCAGGAAACGACAAGCAGATAGAAGAGGGGAGAAAAACGAAACAGAAGGAAAAGGAGCTCAGCACAATTGGAGAGGACGGCAGCAGGAGCACAAGGCTAGAAAAGGACAGGACTGACCCAAGGAGCATCACACTCCGGCAGCCGCCCACTAAGCCCCCCCTCACGGCATCAACGAGCTGAGCGGGGAGGGGGATAATTCTGAAAAGTGTATACTCCAACTTTGTCACCTCAATTCTCGTCCTAAGAGATTAAATTTGGTATCATTGTGTTCGCAATAGAATTCTCTACTGCACTAAATGCATATAAACTCCAAAAGCCCGGCTAATTACCCGCAGCAAACAGAGTGCGAACGAGTTACCCAGGAGTGCACAAAAGCGATAAAATGTGTTCACTCTGGTCACCTCAATTTTCATCCTAGGTCTTTCATTTTGGTATCAATGGGTTCGCAATAGAATTCTCTAGAGGAATATTAGCATATAAAATAAAAAACCTGGTCACGCTCCAACTGCCGACGAGTTGAAGACAGGCCACACGTTAGCCGCAAGTGAGCACCCAGACGCCTTCCAGCTACACTCCCAATTCCTGCTCACAATAGTTTAGTATTATTACTTGTTGCTAATCAATTTTCGTGTTACAGCGCTCATTTAGGTATGAAATTGTTCCTAATAGAATGCTTTAGATGGATATGTGCATATAAAGGCCAATTGAACAATATTGCCAGTATAATACGCGAAAGTATGAAAAAAAAATTACACAACACAATTTTTTGTACTCGTCACCTCAGTGACGAGTGTTGAACATGACATAGGTGTGTGTAGGGAAGACATGGGCGCGCATTTTAAAACCAGTCCCAAAAAAATCTGATAATTGCCAAAAATCAGGTTTTTATTTTAGTGGACAGAAGATTACCGACAGTAAACTGACGACGCAGCATTGCATCATGCCCGGACGAAAGTGTTAAAGGGCCGAAAGCCATGAGGGCACTACGAAAGTCTACTACAATCACAAAAGATTGACAACAAGAAAGCAGGAGACGGAGAGCAGAGAGAATAGCAAAGTTTCGCTGTGAAGATCCTAGTCTCTGAAGGGAGGAGACAAGTGCGGATGTTCATTTAGAAATCATTCTTTTGGAAAATGAACAAATCCACAAGGGCAGTGAAGAGGGTTCGAACCTGCATCCGAGAGGATCCCAGATGTGCGTTAATTTACTAGGCCATGACATGGTCAAAAGAATTGGAACTGGGAGTTCCACTAGCCTCTCAGATCCTGCAGTCTCTCCGAGACAAACCACGAATAATAAATTACAAACCATGTGTAATGAAGTAAGGGCGAAGAGGTAGAACAGAGCCCAAGTGCATGGGGAATTGTGTAAAACCCTGATTTGTCTCTCGGACTGCAGGATCCGTGCGAGGCCAGTGGAACTCCTGGTTGCAATTCTTTTGACGATGTCATGGCCTAGTCAATTAAGGTGCGTCTGGGATCCTCTCTGATGTAGGTTCAAACCCTCATCATGACCCTTGTGGATTTGTTCATTTGATGTATCACACTATTGTGATGTGCAATTCTTTTGGAAAACTATTCTTATTCATAATTTAGTTTTAGTGACAGCATTCTGATGCTATTAGTGTTCGTAGTAACAGTGATGCGTGTAATATATTTCTGGCATTTTGCTGCATCAGGTAAAAGTGTTATAAAATTCATAAATTTTTTAAATATAAATCTCTTAAATTGTCTACATTATAAAAATGTAGACAACTATGTGTGCCGTGTGTATATAGTGTAACAGCAAGAACAAAATTCATTGACATTGGAATAATTTTTTAAACTTGTAATCATGGCAACTGCTAGTGCAAGTATGCCGAGCGACTACTTGCTTGGCACCCATAAATTGGTAAGCTTCCATCTAATCTGGGATGAATTTTAACAATATTAGGAACAAAAAAAATTTGAGGCTAATAATTTTTGTTCCCACACACCACAGAATTGTCATTTAACTAATGAACAGTGCATGGGTTAAGGCACTGTAGTGTGGGGGTTAATGAAACAATTTCAAAGCCGAGGCATGAGAAATGCGCTCCATATAGTAAAAATCCCTTTAGAGGTCTTATTGGTAGTTGTCTTTTAGATGATTGGTTAAAATAAAAATTTAGCTCTGAAATTAGCCCAAAGAGCATGGGGAAATTAGTGTATGAAAGGCAACAATATGGCTCCAATAATGTTTGGAAGGATTTTCACAGGTGGAAGCAACATTAGAAGAAACCGCTGAAGTATTTTTCTTATTAGAGGGGAGCGAGTGAAAAAATAAATCCCAGTTTAACAATGCATTAACACAAAGATAGTGGAAGAGAACTTCATGAACATAGCCACACAAAAAGGCATGTCATTATAAACTCTACATAAGCTTTCAAATAAAGGGAGGTATACAAATGCACTAAATTCCTGGAATTCATCGTTTTATAGAAGTGTAAAATACCATTCGCAGAAAACATTCTACAGACCCAAAATCTGTGGACATCGCCCCCCCCCCCCCACTTCACAACGGGAAAGTGAAACACTAGTGAAGAAACAGACCAATAACCGACATCTCTCACCATTAAAGACTACATTATAGATTTTTAATTATTTTTTTAGAGATCGGACAAAAGGGATCTGGCCAAAAGATTTTATTCGTTTTTAAGAGTGATCCACTGTGTAGAGGCCCAGATCTGAAGGTGAAGTGTAGTTGAACAATGTCAAATATTTAAAATAAAAAAAAAAAAAATGTTTATTTAGGTAAGGTACATACATACAATAAATTTTTACAAAGATTGGTTGACTTATAGGTAGAGCTAGTACATACAATGCCTAAAGCCACTATTACGCAAAGCGTTTCGGGCATGACAATATTCCCAATATATGACAATATTTATATCAAGACTGGTTAGCTTGCTGCTCTATAGCAAAATAGTACCATATCTCCAAGGCAATAAATAACAATGCAAGGCAAATAATGTAAACAAATACACACAATGAACAGCTGAACAGGTAAAATGAACATGAACATCAAAATTATAGTGTAATTATTAACATTCCTCTTATGATTTTCCAACAGTTTATATCAATAGTGAAATTAGATAGAAATAAATGGTTAAGATACCTCCAATTGAGTGTGTAGTGGTTTACTTGTCTAAAAATACTGAAGTTGACAACCTTCAAGCATCACTTTTATCAAGTTATTCAGACATTATAATAGTGGATAATTACCAGCTACCATGAACGGAGCATCACGAGCTTTCCTGGCCAGACGTTCACTGTGAGACTCGCCATAGTGTGACATGTCACTTGCTCCTGAAGGAGGGCAAAAAGTTAGTAAACAGTAATTATAAAAGTAACATTTCTACTGAAAGAATGTCAAAACATACTTTAGAATTATCGTGCAATTAAAACATGCATAATTACTTCGAAAAATGAATAAAAAACAATTACAAATTTGAACTACAGAGTATTTTCCTCCTAACAAGAAACTTAAGAATTGCAACATAAAATATAACAACTTTAATCATTCATCTATCTTATGTGAGCAGCCACCAAATAAAAAGAAAAATTCATCCGCTTCCAACAAGGACAAATGAAGTAGATTTCTGGCAGAAAAATTTGATGCCTTTCACTTCCTGAATGGACAAATTCTCATTGATTTAGCTCATCTTTTGCTCTTGTGTCTTTTTGAAAGTGTTGCACAAATATTTCTGCAAACGTTAAATTGCAAATACCCTGTACAGTAACGAAGTACATGTACATTATATATTTAACCCCTGAGCTGCGTGCACCAATTTCAATGACAACTGTGTGTGCAAGAAGAAAATTGAAAACTTTACTTTCAAGTTAAAATGCATTTCCTGATCACAGAACAATTAAAAGAAATGTGCAATTTACTTTGGGCAAAATGGAGGGAGGAACCCTTGACATCACAACTCTTGAGCATTTGAGCATTCATGAAGCTTTTGTCCTGTGGAGGGTGTCCAGCCAGGCACGGGAGTTACTAGTTTTTACACATTTCAATGTATCGATTTATTTCACTTTTCAATATTATTCAATTATATGTCATTTGAGAAACTTGTGGAATATCTGAATGCTCAAATATATTAGTGTCACTAAAATGCACAGCATTTTACATTTAACAAAAATACACTTTGCTATTATTACTTTGAATACACATGTTGCATACAATGTTTTGTTTAACCTATCAACTGTGTGACAACTGTCACACAGTAGATGGGTTAAGGAAAAAAGCTGAAAATTATGCATTCTTCATTGTGATTATGCATATAATAAAGATCATTGGCAAACAATTTGGTGTCAATATTATGTATATACAATTATTTTTAAACTGAAAAATGCAAAATTATTTAAGAACTCCCTAAAGTCTTGTGAGGGAGGAAGGAGATGGTTAATAGAAAACCACAACTTTTGAAAGGAAAGAACAAAAGAAACAAGAAAAAGCAGATCAATGCATGTATTAGCTACAAGTACTGTACTCAATGTTCTGGCCCAACATACCGAGAATAGATACATTACGGTTATTTGGCCCGTGGAAACCTAACTTGAGACACTGACAGTGAACATTGCCCCAGCCTTAAATAGGCCAAATTTAACAATATACAAGCTTATTTTTAGTTCAATCTTTTCTTCTAACCCTTTTATATAACAGCCAGCCAGAATAACTTATGTTGCACTTCCAAGTAGTCTTAAGTATCCTTTGTTAAATGCTACTAGAAATGTTCACAATTCAATGCCAACTTTAGATACAGTATATAATAGTCAAAGTGTCTACAATATTATGAAATAAAATATACTTGTCCCACATGGCACTAGGTTGATTACTGTGATGCGAGGCACTCCTTAAGTTCCTCGTGTAATAGGCCAACAGTTAGGTTAAGCCCTATTTTCAATACATTTCTCACCTCTGTTCTCTCCAGCCATCAGCTGCATTGAAAGAAAAAATTAAATGTTACACAAACAAAGGGTAACAGTACATGATGGCGTGTTATCTAAACTACGGGCAAAAGAAGTCATACTATAAAGAATGTACTGTACAGTACAAACAAAATTTGATGAAAAATCGTGCATACAGCAGTTCCCAGATTTGTTTAGAGAACATGTTCCTGTAAAAGACTGAACACATCAAATCTGAAAGAAAATGGGGTTAGTATCTGGTGTCTAGGAAACTAGTGCCTGCTCTGATTTATGAAAAAATCAAAGAAACCTACTACAATGCCATAGTGCTTGAATGAGGGTAAGGGGAAGACCTAATACAGCACAAACACTTTACAACACCTTTAGAAAGGATGTAGGTAACGTACAAAAATTTAGTCAATACACTTGCACATATATTGGACCTTTCCTTGATCTCACTGGTTCTTCACTGGTTTAATCTTGCATTTTCTTCCATATCGTTCACTCCACTGTTATTTTTACTGTGTAGATTCATTCTCAAGTCGATTGTTTTGACAAGTCTGATCGACTTTAGAATGCTCCAGGACGGACCGAAACTTCGTCGTCCCTTTACCTAGTGTGTGGTCTGGTCAACAGTTAAATTGCATCTCAAATTACATAGGCAGAGTACACCCCTTGATAATCCAGCCCTTGTACATCAGGTAAGAGGAAGAGACTTTACTATAAATAAGAGGCTAGCAGCCAGCTATGGCGTATGGAATCGGTACTGTACTACAATTTAATCTTTTACAAGAGTTTACCCAAGAGCCACGAACACTAGTGGCCTTGATGAAGACAGGAAGCCGGCAGCTTGTCGAAGGTCCCCCCAACCATGCCAAAGCATAGGAAATACTGTAGATCAGTGGCAGTAAAAGAGCAGTAGTAGCGAGAGAAATTTCATTGAGAAATTTAATATAATTAACCAGTGCCTTTTACCAGAGGTAACCCCCCATTGTTGCTGTATCCCCCCCACCATTCAAATAAATGTTTATTCAGGTAAAGTACATACATACAAGGTGTGATACAAATATTGATGTATTTATAGTTAGAGCTAGTACAGACAATGCTTAAAGCCACTATTACACTTCACCATCACGCATTGTTGCTGTACCCCCGCCCCCCTACCATTGTTGCTGTGCCCCTACAACGTAGCCATAATGTATCACCACCGATACCTACACCAAGCAGGTTGTTACTAATGACTTAAAATTACTTGACACCACTAAATTCTGCCACCACCTTCGCCTTTGCTGAACATATGTACTTTACAGTGATCGACGGCGAAGGGTACCGGTCACCGGAGAGTAAAAGGAGCGAGTTAAGGATATCACATGCGGGAGAGGGTGAGAACACTGCCGACTTCCACTATTTACCGGCAACTATGAATAACTTGCAGGAACGAATGGATACAACAGATGGACAATTTAGTAATACTGTATATTTAATAAAGTTCCAAATAAAAAATCCTAATCTTTCCTATCAAGGCAATAGAATATCGACACTTGCAATGTTAGAACATAAGGGGCCAGTACTCATGATACAGCAGCAATGAAGCTTTCTTGTAGACACCAAATTGTCTCCCTTAAACAGGAGATATGGTCTCCCTCCCCCATGTGGTGCCTAACACTACACACCAGACTCCTGTTAGGACAGACCGGACAACTTTGCCCTCTCTTGTAACGAGCTTTTTATATCCATCTACCCCCAATTTTCTGTTGAATGGACAAATTTGAATCTGGTAACAAGGGATTACCTTCCAACCTTTGAAACGACTAAGTGAGGTTTGTTTGACCTTACCTCATCTCCCTGTGAATGTCTCTTAAGCCAGGTATAATCCCAAGTCTACTCGTGTCACCTCGACAGCCGATACCCCACCCCCCATTGCTGCTATACCACCCCACCTCCACCATTGTTGCTGTAGCACCACACACCCCCCCCCCCCAACATTGTTGCTGTAGCACCTACACCCCCCCCCCAACATCGGAGGGAGCCAGTCGGCCGAGCGGATAGCACGCTGGACTTGTGATCCTGTGGTCCTGGGTTCGATCCCAGGCACCGGCAAGAAACAATGGGCAGTTTCTTTCACCCTATGCCCCCGTTACCTAGCAGTAAAATAGGTACCTGGGTGTTAGTCAGCTGTCACGGGCTGCTTCCTGGGGGTGGAGGCCTGGTCGAGGACCAGGCCGCAGGGACACTAAAAAGCCCCGAAATCATCTCAAGACGAGCTCAAGATAACCAGTAGAGCTATTCAAGATTATGAACCATGATTTTATCATGACAGCCAAGTATATTAGAGGAAACGGTAGAGATGTGAATTCCATCCCACCCATTGCCACAATATTTTCAGTTAAGAGGAAACTATTTCAGGCCAAGGATATATTAAGCAACTGAATTGCCTGGAAGCACAATTGTGAAAGTGGATCAGTGACTGCCAGATTCGTACTACAGTGTATATATTTAGGAGTGATCTTTTAAAACATGAGAGAGAGAACCCATTAGTGAACAGCAAACCTGTGGCCTAGACAGTGACAAGAACAACTCTTAAGGAACTTTTATATTCATGCAAAACAAGAATATTTTCATCAAGGCTGAAAATAGGAGCCTGACAGCTGCGTGGACAGCGCTTGGTCTTAGTCCTGAGGTTCTGGGTTCGATCCCCGGTGGAGGTGGAAACAATTTAGCAGTTTCTTTCACCCTAATGGGTTATTCACCTAGCAGTAAATAGGTACCTGGGAGTTAGACAGCTGATACAGGCTGCTTCCTGGGGGGTAACAAAAAGGATGCCTGGTCAACGCCCAGGCCGCGGGAAGTTAAGCCCCGAAATCATCTCTAGACGAGCTCAAGAGGCTAGGAAATTTAAAACCATGCAGCGCCTTTGGCTATAAACAGGTAACCTTATTGTATTTACATTTTCAGATGAACATGTAGAGTCAAAACCCTTCTTCCCTGAACCTGCATTCATGTTAGCATCCGGGAGTTAAGTTTCTAATTGATTTCTTTAAATGCAAGGAATCTTAAAACATTTTAAAAAGCTTGCCAATGCATATTCCTGAGCTACTATTCATTATGCAGTAGTACAGTTAGTTTATAAGGGACAAGGTCATCTCAGCCGAGAAGCGAACTAAATTTACACTGTAGTTAGAAGGCCTTTGTAGTACTGTACAGTTGGGCTTGTTCTAGATTTTCAATCTGGAATCCCAGGATTGAGTCCTGGGCAGGGCAAATAGTACGAACACTACCTGTCCCTGACATTAATCTGGCAGTGTTACCATGGAATCTAGTTACCAAAGTCTGAATCATTATCAGTTATTAATGCACTTGCATATAAAGCTAACATTTGTAATATTAATGACTAGAGTATATTTTTCCCTTTGCTTCCTGGAGGATATGCTTCCTGGAGGATACAACGACATTTATGCAAGCAAACACTAGACCAAGCAGCAGCAGATTGTCAAGTGCAGGTCCCTTGAGCATTAATAGAGCCACACTAGAACACTTCGATCTCTAAAATAAAGAGTTCAATAGAATCAGTTTTATTTAGCTCACTTTTAAACCTATTTTTTTAGATCTAAATTTCTGTATGCTACTAGCATTGCAGAATTTAATTAAATATTAAAATGTGCTGTAAGTGATGCAAAAAAAAAAAAATATTTTGAAGTACTGTACTATGAAGAATACAGAAGATTTTGCCACCATGGGTAACCAATACAAGACTGCTTCAAATATAAATAAAACTTTAGATTTATATTTTTATGCAAAAAAAAAATTGTCAATTTTATGAAATTAATTTTATAGCTTACGTAATAATCTTACAATATTGGAGATAAATAGTTGAAAAAGCAATGTTTTGGGAGGTTCCTTGAATAGGCTTCATACCCAGCAACCTAAATAGTTACTTAAATTAGTATTAAGTACAGCACCTAGTCTGTGTTGTGTCATTTTATAAACAAACATTATGCAAAACAAGTTATAATGTATTACTAATACTTTTAAATTATTTGAAATGCCAATGACTCGTTAAGGGATCAATACCAGGAACTTTACCCTAATAAAAAGAACCACACAGTAGTGTGCTATTTGGAAACAAAAAGGAGTGGTATGCTAGGCTCTTATCAAATCCCCTCAAGGGCTGTGTGTTATTTGGACAAATTCTTTTTTACTTGTGTACTACAGTACTTTGCTACAGATTCAGGGCCTGTTGGACAGCTCAGTTAAAAGGCTCAGAGTGTAGTGCAGTGGTCAGATCGATTTACAACAAATGCCTCCGGTTAAATTCCCATGCTGGGTAGGGGCATTTGGGTCCCTTCTCACTATGTCTAATCAGTAAAGTAAATTATAACCAGTGTTACAAAACACTGGATTGGATCCAGGTGCATCAGATGTTGGCCTCACTAGCTTAAGTATATTCTTTTCACTTCATGCCTCTGTTCACTTAAGAGTTATACAAGTACATAAGACTTCGCCAACTGTTTTAGGGTTCCATCCTGGGGAAGGTCTGATGGATTCGAGTCATGCGTGGGGAGGGGAGGGGGGGAAGGTAGGGAAGATACACAGGTTTCCATGTCCCAGAAATGTTATTTGCTACGAGTTCTCACATGCCTCAAGTATAACCAAGGATGAAGTATTCAGATTTACTTGGAATATTTGCAAGTTTTTAGTAATTCATTATACTGTACTGTAGTAGCAGGCAGTAACTATGATCCAAGCCCAATCTGGAGCCATTTTCCTGTCATAGGTGCTTCAATGGCTATGGTTATCAACATCAGCCGAGGCCTAAAAAAAAAAAAAAAGCAACCCAAGTTGGAAACTGCAGTTTTGATACTAGAAACACCCTGGAACCTTAGCCTGATCAGCAGGTAAACCCAACACCAACAGGCTCAAGGCAGAAATGCCAAATCAGTGCTGCAAATTCAAAGTCCAGCCGAATTAAATCCTGACAAACACAGGGAGGCAGGGTGGGGGGCCGTTGACAAGACACCGGCTTCCTGTCTTTGTTAAACAAGACCACTGGCGAGATGGTGGCAGTCAGGTAAAGTCAGATAAGTTGCCCGATACGCTATGGGCGCCAATGGCTTTACAAGAATGTAAAATCATTAATATGTACTCTTAACCCCAAATGTACCTTGTATATAAATAAATAAAAAGATAAACCCAGCCTTGTAAGCAACACCACAGGTATATGTAAGTAGGTACATGTAAAACCTATTTCCTTTTAAACAAAATATAATTTTGAGCTATAACCACAGCAAGTACAGTAAAGCAACCAAGAGACTTAAAAATGTTTGCATAAGCAGAAGGAACTTTGTGAAATATAGATACTGTACTTAAATGTTTCCAACTGTGCACACTCACAAGATTAAAGCATTGGCAGCTTGATCAGAAATAAACTTGAGGGTTGTAAGATGTTTACAGCTTTGACACGAAGGGTTAAGTAAATGTAAACACTAAAGTTTACTGTGAATTACATAAAAAAATTGCCATTAGTTTAAGGACGTTCCCAAACCGGCATGCGAGCTAGTGGCTTTACAAGAATGTAAAGCCAACTTAATTATTATGTTCTCTTAACCCCCCAATGTACCTTATACAAATAAATGTCAAGTCCCTGCTGTGTTAGGGGTACTGTAGGTATACAATAGGTGTTCTTCCTACTGCTGGGTGTTCAACACGCTGTTAGAGCAGCATGTTTGTTCGCTTAGGGCCAACTGACGCTGCCCAATACACTTCCCCTCCGAAGCAAAATGAAAAAAATGTCTCGCCCCCACACAACTGTGTAGTAGAGTAGGCTTCCTTCTGGCCTACTAATAGGGGGGGGGGGGGAAGGAAATCCCGGCAGGGATAACGACTTGGGCGCGTTTCCTATCACCTGATGTTCCTGTTCACCTTGCAGTAAATAGGTACCTTTAGGTACTTGGCTTGTTATGATACTCAATCCTCTGGGGGGGGGGTGTCCGGGAGCTCCACCTTAGAGGAGGGAGGGGGTGAACCTCGATACAAGCTTAACATATGTTCAGGTCAGGCAGAGCCAGACATACCCTGGCTACCTGTCCCCTGATACTATCATTTACACCTTCATTAACCCGTTCTTTACGCTACGTGCAGTTTGAGCCACCACTTGTGCCGGGCTATATGGCTCGGCCCTCTCAGACACCTTCCACCGCTCAACCCCCACGGTCTTTAGTAACATTATAATGCCCCTATCACCCCGGCTGGCCACACATGTGCACAGTTATACACCCGAGTGTAACTATTACCTCAAAAATTGGGCGTAGAGATGTAGAGAGAGAAACTAGCGATAGTGTACTCGTCGGGAGCTGAGGCGGTACTGGCCGGTGATGCAACACTCCACTGTTTATATACCGCCCCACACAATAAATATATCGGCGAACTGTTTAACTACACTTCAAATATGCTTCATTTATAGGAAATTTATTACTGTATATATAACTAAAAGTGTATCTTTCAAACTGGTATTTAAATAATATCATCTTGAATCTTGGAACCATCCTGCCCCTATGTTATTATTTTTTTATTTTATTTTTTTTGCTAGTTCATGGACTCTGCACTTTTTGTTCTTGCAATATATTATACGTTTGGGTGAAACAGCTAAAATATAAAGAAATAAGTGTCCTATTCAAATTGAGAATATAAATCTGGATACAATAAGAATTCAGAAGGGAGAGTGTAATGGAGAAACAAGAGGTGCTGCGGGCCGCGGGTTGCCGCGTCTGGACGTGACGGTCGCCATGCGCGCTCCGCCTCAACTCCCACAAGGACACCTTAATTATGACGTCACGGTTTAACCCATTCCTTCCTGCCTTCTTTACAAATACACCAAACTATGCCCCATCTCTGTAAATGAGCTTCGTATGTACGTTGCCATGGTGTATTAATGAACGCATATAAGGTATACATACATACAAATATATAGTCTGACCAATCCTGGAGTATGCGGCTCCAGCATGGAGTCCGTATCTCGTCCAGCACAAGACTAAATTGGAGAAGGTTCAGAGGGATGCCACCAGACTAGTACGCGGGCTCAGGGGTATGAACAACGAGGAGAGACTACGGAAACTAAACCTCATATCGCTGGAAGACAAAGGAGTTAAGCGAGACATGATCCCCACATACACGATTCTGATATGAATGGATAGGGTAGATAAGGACAGTTTATTTAACATATGGGGCACACGGACTAGGGGACACAGGTGGAAATTGAGTACCTAAATGAGCCATGAGACATTAGAAAGAACTTTGTAAGTGTCATAGTAGTTAACAAATGGAATGCATTAGGAAGTGATGTGATGGAAGCTGAATCCATACACAGTTTCAAATGCAGATATGATAGAGCCCAATAGGCTCAGGAACCTGTACATCAGTTAATTGACAGTTGAGAGATGGGACCAAAGAACCGAAGCTCAACCCCCCTACAAGCACAACTAGGTGAGTACATACATACATACATACAAACATACATACATACATACATACATACATACATACATACATACATACATACATACATACATACACACACATACATACATACATACATACATACATACATACATACATACATACATACATACATACATACATACATACATACATACATACATACATACATACATACATACATACATACATACATACATACATACATACATACATACATATGTGTGTGAGGAACTGAATAAGAAAATCCAAAAGGTCTTCACATTAGAGCAAGGAGAAGTTCCAGAGATAAGAGAGGGAATAGTTAACCATGAACCATTTGAAGAATTTGAGATTACCAGTGGGGATGTAAGGAAGCTCTTGCTCGAGTTGGATGTAACAAAGGTAGATGGAATCTCCCCTTGGATACTAAAGGAAGGAGCAGAAGCACTGTGCCTGCCACTCTCCATAGTGTATAACAAATCACTGGTAACAGTGATTCAGTAAGGAGCTGGTCGGCCAAGTGGACAGCACGCTGGACTTGTGATCCTGTGGTCCCGGGTTCAATCCTGGGCGCCGGCGAGAAACAATGGGCAGAGTTTCTTTCACCCTATGCCCCTGTTACCTAGCAGTAAAATAGGTACCTGGGTGTTAGTCAGCTGTCACAGGCTGCTTCCTGGGGGTGGAGGCCTGGTCGAGGACCGGGCCGCGGGGACACTAAAGCCCCGAAATCATCTCAAGATAACCTCAAGAAGGTCCCCCCATTTGCCTCGATGATCTTTTCCAGCAGCACTTTAAACGTGAGCAGAGTTTTGGCATTTACGGCTTCGGCGGGTAGGCGGTTCCGCGGGTTTAATAACCTTGTGGGTGAAAACATTGCGGTTTGTTGAGCTTAAAACTGTTGTTCCTTGTTTGTTACACCTGACTGACCTCTTGAAGACATTTTCCGGACCAACATCCTCCCAAGTATATAGGTAAGTATGAATGCATGTGTCCACCTAGTTGTATTCATCTAGTTGTGCTAGCGGGGGTTGAGCTCTGCTCTTTCTGCCCGGCTTTCAACTGTCAATCAATCAACTGTTACTAACTACTAACTATTTTTTTCCAAAGACACACACACACACACACATACAGGAAGCAGCCCGTAACAGCTGTCTAACTCCCAGGTACATACAGTATTTTACTTAGCCTAAGGCTAACAAGTTAGCCTCTTGTTTGGGAATGTCAATTTCGACGAACTACTTCTCATTCTGGAAGCTCTTACTATATGAGTACTGGAACACTTGATGATATATTGGACTTGTATCCAAGATTGACCATGTAATGTATTAATTATACAATGTATGTATGTGATGTAACTATATAACCTAAGCTTGTAAAAGCACCTTAATCACCTTCAGTAATTAAATTCATAATTAAATTAATTGCACACTAGTTTCTCTATCAGCTATCTCACTATGTCAGCGTAAAAGAGACAAATGTATGTGTGTGTATGTGTGTGTGTGTGTATGTATGTATGTATGTATGTATGTATGTATGTATGTATGTATGTATGTATGTATGTATGTATGTATGTATGTATGTATGTATGTATGTATGTATGTATGTATGTATGTATGTATGTATGTATGTATGTATGTATGTATGTATGTATGTATGTACTCACCTAGTTGTACTCACCTAGTTGTGCTTGCGGGGGTTGAGCTCTGGCTCTTTGGTCCCGCCTCTCAACCGTAAATGTATGTATGTATGTATGTATGTATGTATGTATGTATGTATGTATGTATGTATGTATGTATGTATGTATGTATGTATGTATGTATGTATGTATGTATATGTGTGTGTATGTATGTGTATAAAGTATATGTGGAAGCTGATCAGAATTACATTTCACCTTTGTAAATGCACATTAATGACACTATGTAAAAGACACATCTAACACTTTATGTAGGGCATACGTAAATCTGTGTATCTATGTATTTACATATGTAGGTTAGCTTAGCATTTTAAAAGCACCGACTCACCTTCTGTGGTTGAGTGTTCAATAAACCCTTGAACTATATGTTTAACACTTCTCTAACCCTGTCCATGGAGGACAGAAGAAAATGTGTATATGCTGGTTAGAACTGTAAATGTGTGGCCACGTCTGTGGTAGAAAATAATAATAATAAAAAAAATCATTCAACTGATTATTCCCTTCCCCCCACAGGAAGCAGCCCGTAACAGCTGTCTAACTCCCAGGTACATATTTCCGGCTAGGTGAACAGAGGAATCAGATTGAAAGAAACTCTGCCCATTTGTTTCCGCCATCGCCGGGGATTGATCCCCGGACACTAGGATTATAAATCCCGAACGCTGTCCACTCAGCCACCAGGCTCCGCCAGTGTGTGTGAGTGATTGATGATGATGATAAGGCCAGACCAGAGGTGGCACGCGCATGCGTCCCCGTAATGTGTGTGTCTGGCCGTCCTGTCCTCCTACAACCTGTCCTCCTGCAACCTGTCCTCCTACAACCTGTCCTCCTGCAACCTGTCCTCCTACAACCCGTCCTCCTGCAACCCGTCCTCCTACAACCTGTCCTCCTACAACCTGTCCTCCTGCAACCTGTCCTCCTGCAACCTGTCCTCCTGTAACCTGTCCTCCTGCAACCTGTCCTCCTACAACCCGTCCTCCTGCAACCTGTCCTCCTACAACCTGTCCTCCTGCAACCTGTCCTCCTACAACCTGTCCTCCTGCAACCTGTCCTCCTACAACCTGTCCTCCTACAACCTGTCCTCCTGCAACCTGTCCTCCTGCAACCTGTCTTCCTGCAACCTGTCCTCCTGCAGCCTGTCCTCCTGCAACCTGTCCTCCTACAACTTGTCTTCCTGCAACCTGTCCTCCTGCAACCTGTCCTCCTACAACCTGTCCTCATACAACCTGTCCTCCTGCAACCTGTCCTCCTGCAACCTGTCCTCCTACAACTTGTCCTCCTGCAACCCGTCCTCCTGCAACCTGTCCTCCTACAACCTGTCCTCCTACAACCTGTCCTCCTGCAACCTGTCTTCCTGCAACCTGTCCTCCTACAACTTGTCCTCCTGCAACCTGTCCTCCTGCAACCTGTCCTCCTACAACCTGTCCTCCTGCAACCTGTCCTCCTGCAACCTGTCCTCCTGCAACCTGTCCTCCTACAACCTGTCCTCCTACAACCTGTCCTCCTGCAACCTGTCCTCCTGCAACCTGTCCTCCTACAACCTGTCCTCCTACAACCTGTCCTCCTGCAACCTGTCCTCCTGCAACCTGTCCTCCTGCAACCTGTCCTTCTACAACCTGTCCTCCTGCAACGTGTCCTCCTACAACCTGTCCTCCTACAACCTGTCCTCCTGCAACGTGTCCTCCTACAACCTGTCCTCCTACAACCTGTCCTCCTACAACCTGTCCTCCTACAACGTGTCCTCCTACAACCTGTGCTCCTACAACCTGTTCTCCTGCAACCTGTCCTCCTACAACCTGTCTTCCTACAACCTGTCCTCCTGCAACCTGTCCTCCTGCAACCTGTCCTCCTGCTACCTGTCCTCCTGCAACCTGTCCTCCTGCAACGTGTCCTCCTACAACCTGTCCTCCTACAACCTGTCCTCCTGCAACGTGTCCTCCTACAACCTGTCCTCCTACAACGTGTCCTCCTACAACCTGTCCTCCTGCAACCTGTCCTCCTACAATGTGTCCTCCTACAACCTGTCCTTTTACAACCTGTCCTCCTGCAACCTGTCCTCCTACAACCTGTCCTCCTACAACCTGTCCTCCTGCAACCTGTCCTCCTGCAACCTGTCCTCCTGCAACCTGTCCTCCTGCAACCTGTCCTCCTGTAACCTGTCCTGCAACCTGTCCTCCTGTAACCTGTCCTCCTACAACCTGTCCTCCTACAACGTGTCCTCCTACAATCTGTCCTCCTACAACCTGTCCTCCTG